ACAGCACCTGAGTTGCTTACTGTAGGACCATGTGATATTTCAAGTGAAAAAGTCTAGATCTATTACATAATTAATTTTCTAAATAATTATGTAAGCTGCACATTTGAAATATCACCAAGATCTATACTCTATATTATTGTACTATACTATAATCTTTGCTGTGTTTTCACTTAACACTTACTCTATCAGTCCATCTTGTCTATGCGTCTCCACGTTTACCTGCAGAGTAAACAGGAAGTGTGGAGCATATTAATGCACTGACTTGCCGTTGAAAGGTCACAGTGGTGACGAGAGTTGATAGAGTTCCAATAGCGAGGACTGAGCTAGCATAAAGCTAGATGATTACTGATACATTACAGAGACAGAATAACAGTAGAAAAACAATGAGATTACAAAACAAAAGCCCCTGTTTTCTCTTAGTCTGTTACCATAATAACACACAGGTCAAAGTAAAAAGATTACCCACAGTGCTGTAGGATTGCAAGCCCAGATTATGTGAGATGGTCTTAGCACTAGTAATTAACAACAGCCTTCTACTTTTATTTTATTTAGCAACATGCACATGGCACAATACAGGGAATGCTGCTCCCATGAAGCTGTGGGATTGAATCTAACGTCTTGCGTTTGGGAAATGTGATGAGTGGTTACACTTCTTGGTTTTTAACTGAAATGGTGTGTGTTGAAAGTCATTATAGGTGCTAAGCCATCCCTTAAGGCTTAGAATGAATCGTCAGACGTTTTGTATTGATTTGTTGAGTAAAATAAGATTAGACCTCTACATTCTTATTTTTTATCTAAAAATAATTAAATTCAGCCATAATATGCATGGACCAAATGTATGGAGCTTTCTGGCATCATTGTTCATTTTGCACCAGATATCAACACTAAATGTGGTCAAAAAAAAAAAAATGCATTCATTCAAGGACACATTAAATGTATCAAAAAAAAAAAATATCCATCTCAAATGAATGTTGTTCAATTAAGCGTCCTGAAACAAATGCATCACAGTTTTCACAAAAATATTAAGCAGCAAACACTGCTAATAATTAGCACATTAATAATTGAGCACCAATAATAAGTGAGCACCAAATCTCTGAAGGATCATGTAACACTGAAGACTGGAATAATGGCTGCCATAAATAAATTAAATTATAAAATATATTTAAATAAATAAAATATTTCACAATATTACTATTTTCACTGTATTTTTGAGCATTAGACTTTATTCAACTACATGGTTCTAAACTTGTGACAGGTAGTGCATACAGTATATAAATAATTTAAAATATATAAATGTTTTATAGGATTATATTGAACCTATTTTGCATCCCGGGTTGGGAATCATGTTGTATGACTATTTATTATATCTTTATTTGACATGGACATACAATTACATTGGACGAACCATATGCATTTGGTTTAGTGATTATAGCATACATGCTAATTTTCAACACCTGTCCACGGGAGGCTTTTAAAAATAAAATAAAATAAAATACAGTAACAAGGAAGAAAAATAAAATAAATAATAATAATTAAAAAAAAAATACTGTGTTTGTGAGGTATTTCACAATTAATCACCAACTGTCAAGACTACATAGTGAGCTCGCCATTTTGTAGTGCTTTCCGAATGTATACTGATGATTATTATACCCTATAGTCCACTCAATGTATCCCAGAATGCATTTTGAAAAGTAGTGTACAACCGATGGTCACTAACCCAAGCCCTACATACCATCATGCATTGCGCTGATCGTAACAGCAATGACGTAATCAGCGGTGCCAAGAGACGATCGAGTAGTGTCCGAAAGTGGTTTTTCTGTTATGCTGGTGTGCTCACTATATAGTGCTCTTCTCCCTAACCCCTACATAGGGGGTAGAGAGTAGTGGTTTGAGTGGAGATTTCGGACACAACCTTAGTTAGAAGAACAATCAAAAACCAAAGACAGAATCAAAACATGAAATAGGCAAAATATGGAAAATGGAAGTTATGGG